GCTCTGGGACCAATTTCTCTTTGCCCTTGCTGCCCTGCAAATGACATTCTTACCAGACCATTAAGAAAACTGTTATAACTTCTAGTGAGACCACCTGCTCGGTCTCAGTGCTGGGACGATTACATCTATCGGAAATAATGACCCATAACTAGAATAAAACACATTAATAACATCACATTTACCCAGGATAATGCATTTCACCATTTTCTATTGCAGAGACCAAGTTAATCAGTAAAAGCATTACCAAAAAACGAGAGCAACTAACAGGCATAGAGTAGATAATGAATATAAAAGCAAAATGTTCAGACTATTTTTTTTTCTTCGAGAAGTAAGAAGATATGTAATGGACAGTAATGGATGGAGCACTAGTTTGGGAATGGGTAATCTTACCTTCTGTTTGTGGATTCATATGCTAAAGGAAGGAAGATCTGGAAGTGCCTTCCTCTGGACATAAGAGAAAACAGGAGGTTGTGAGGTTTAATGGAAAGAGCTCTGGATTAAGAGTTAGATGACCACAGGTCTTACTCCAGCTGTGCTATTAATGAGCTGTGTGACCTTGAGCAATTCACTTCACCTCTCTGAGCCTCAATTTCTTAACTGTAAAATGAACAGCTTAGACAAGGTGATCTCTGAAATCCCCTCCAATTCTCATATGTTGTGATTTGAAGCAGAATGTCAACCCGACATGGGAATGCTGTGAAGTGTAATAAAAATGCCTATAAAACTTCAGAGTCCCATGATCCTTAGAAGTGCAGGTAGAAAGGATCAGATTGCAGTGGCATTTAGGAGATAACTTTGACACACGGACTGAGGCCCTGCTAAAAACTTTAGAGAAGTCCTGCATCAGGACTGGAGTTAAGGTAAGTCTGTGGTACTGCTAGTATTTCTTTTCTTAGATAAATGCTTCGGCTGATCATTACATCTATAATAACAGGAAAAAGCTAGTCCTAAATAAGATGGATCATACAAGCGAAATAAACCCCAACTATTAAGATATATAACACGCCTAAGAGTTCAACCTTACAATTCATCATTCTTAGAGCTTAAGAGAAGACAAGACAGGAAATTAGTGAAGTGCCTTAAGGTTTCCAATCTCTCTCGTAATTTTCTGCTTTGTTTCTATGACTGGGCACTTTCATTTGAGAAAACACATTTCCTAACTCACCACATTTCCACTGAGGCATAAAGTGACTAGGAACAACTACAGGAAAACGTATAGGATGAAACACAAAAACTCTACAGGTCTTGGGACCAATGCCTAGTGTGTGTCTTGTCTCCTTCATCCTGGTTGGCAGACGCTCCATTCTTTTGACTGTTGTCAGTATTGGGGAGGGAAAAAGAGCCAGTGACCTTTTCATTTTCATCAAGACTCAAAAGTGTCACGCTGATTTTAGGGAAAAGGCAGAAGTGGGGAGAGTATGTGCTGGCATTTTGTCTGCAGAGCCCCAGCGACACCTACACACCAAACCCTCTGGGACACAAAAATTCTAATCTTGCTACATAATGCTGTTCCATTTTAGCCTCACATTATTACTTGGATTGAATTTTAAATTAGTCTACTTACAGAACAAATTACTACAAGTTTAATTTCCCTTTTCCAACAAATCCCACTGCAAGCACCAGGCACGAGAAGCCAAGAGAGTTACATATTTTGGCCAAACGCAAGTGAAATAAAATCTCCAAATCAACTAATTCTCCTTCAAAATAAACGTGTAACCCACTTACACTACCAATCTTTGGTCTAGCCAGATTGTAGACAAACATAATCAGAAATGGTCCTTCAGTCAAGCATCTTGCCTTGCGACCCTAAATAAAATACAGATGACAAGAGAAAGGCTGACAGCTTCTTGTAATGAAGGCAAAAGTGATGGGAAAAAGATGTAAAAATTAATGATATCTGGATGACATTATTTAAATAGACAATGGCTCTATCAATAAAAAGAACCCCTAACAAATGTGTTTCATGACAGAAATATATTAACCACTTTTCATCATCTGGAACCTTCATAAATCAATAAGAGATAATATTTACTCTATCCTACTGGGTTGGCCTTTTGTATTTCTAATAGCATTCATTAAATTCTGGTTGCCATAGTTACAACAGAGTTGTAGAATGAGTTTTGTTTCATCATAATTGCTGCACGTTAGTATATAAACAGCTGAACTGTACCTTCCACCAGCAACACTCATTTGTGAATAAAGAAAATCCCTTATCATAAAGTAATTGAACTCAAATTCAAAACATACCATTGAGCCCTTGCTCTCCTCAGAGAGTTGGCAAGTACTTCTCAAACTTTTTCTTAGCATAGTTATCTCTGAAAGGCACATCAATAGTACAAGAAGAATTCAGAGGAAGATTAAAAATATTTAAAGTGATACAGAGGTTTATAGAATTCAAAATAACTTATTCTTGGTCTGTACCATAAGTCATAAGGAACAATTTGACCTTCAGGCTATTGGCCTAGCTTTTTTACCAAATACCTGTCAGTCCGTACAGATATTACATTTGAAATGTGTTATTTCCCAGCCAATTTATCCACTGGAAAAAAAAAAAAAAAACAAGCCAGAGGAATTATCATTAAGCCTGATATATTTTTAGCACTCATTTCAAAGGCCACAATGTAAAAGAAAAGGGAAAGATGTATCTTCTTGTTACATCTTTAAGGTTGCATCTATCCAGAAAATATAAAATCAAAAAAGGAAGAACTGAATCCCCACAACTTGGGAAACATAAGGAATAATATTTGTACCCTAAGAAAAACTCAAAATTTTCATAGACCATCTATACCATAGCAATACAACGTCAGTTCAGTTAAAGATACAACCCTTTAAATTTTGAAAAACAAAATACCTCTGGTTACCACTAAATCTTTTAAATATCTTTTTTAAATCTTTTTAAATATGTATTTGTCTAGCAATGTTCTGCAATACTGCCTATGAAATCCGAAAGGAGAACATGTCATGAGAAAATGGGAGGACAAAAAACCTCAACCAAAATTGTCTTTTCCCATAAGGAAGCTTAAGACAAATAGCCATAAGCATGTTATTTTGAGAGATACACAATTTTTAAGTAACTGAGGATACCTCAAGTTATTCCAGATAGGAAAAGTAAAAACATCCATTTTTGCTTATTCACTTACACTTTTCTTATTTACTCAGGGGCTTTCATTCAATATATTCCATTTGAAACTCATTTTATTCTATACTTATAGTAGTTATTGTTTTAAGGGGGAATGATTTCCTTCCATAAGACTGAATCATGACTATTCAGGTGGCGCTTTATTAAAAGATATGCTTTTGAACGTGAGCAAGACGTAATGTTAATAACTCTAAAGACACAAAGATAAGTAAGATGGTTCTTGACCAAAAGAAGGTGAACTAGGATTAGCCTATCAGAGGAACTTAGTAGAAGAATGGGGAGAGGCCTTGAGGTAATACTAGGTAGTTACATAATATGGGCAGTGTCTGAATGAGATGAAGGAAGAGCAGAGTCCGTCAACACAGCAAGGCGACCTGCACTTCACAGGACCAGCAAACGCTTCAAGAAGACAGTGGCATTTGAGTTGAGTATCCTGTAAAGGTAGTGAGGGATAGTCTGATATTCTGAAAGAAGGAAAAAATCCAGCAAAAATTAAAATGATGACCAGGACAGGTATGTGACAGTTCTTTCTAGAACCTTAACCAATTTTTAATAGATGTTGGTATAAGCAAATGCAATTATGAATGGGGGCGCCTGGGTGGCTCAGTCAGTTGAGCATTCGACTCTTGGTTTTGGCCAGGATCCTGATCTCGGGGTTCTGGGATCAAGCACGCAGGGGGCTCCAGGCTCTGCAGGGAGTCTGCTTCTCCCCTTCTCCCTCTCCCTCTGCCCCTCACCCTGCTGGCATGCAAATGCACGCGCTCTCTCTAACAAATAAATCTTTAAAAAAATTATTCGAAGCACAGGTTATTAGAAGTACATACTGCAGTGTTCACTGCAACAGTTGTGAAAAATTTAAGTCAGTTTTGTAAATTGAGGGCAGAGGCTATTTCCGGCAAGCGGAAAACCTAGAAAGACATGGCATGCTGTTTGAGTGATGCCAGGCAGCAGCTGGTGGGGTGAGAAACGGGCTTTGCAGACAGCCTGTTTGGGTGCAAATACTTGCTCAAACACTTAACTAACGGAGCAACTGGAAAAGTTACTTAACCTCTCCATGACTGTCTCCTTATCTAAAGCAGGAATATCAGTAGTGCCTACTTCCTAAGTTGTCATGAGTATTAAAGAATACGTATAGAACACTTAACCTAATGCCTGGCAAATGTAAGCACCTGGTGTGTGTTAGCTCTTATTTTTTATTACGTGGAGCAGGGCTGAAAATACTTCTAATTCCGATATAGATTTTTTTTTTGAAAACTGTCTTTTCTTTAAATAATCTCAGCCCGCTCTGGATCATCTAAGAATTTCAGTAATGGGGGGGGGGGGAACCAAAGTAAACGAAACTTGCCAATTAAAGATGACTTCCAATTTAAAAGTCTCCGAGTTTCTTTTTCCTCATTGCAGCAGTTCTAGAATCCAGCTGCACTTTTTAATCATATGAAGATTTCTTTAAAATACTAATGCCAGGATCCCACCTCCAGAGATTCTAATTTAATTGGGCTTGGCCCTAAGGAGTTTTAAAAGCTTCCCAGGTGATTCCAATGTGCAGCCGAGGTTGAGAACCACTAATCCAATGGGTAAATCATCTGCCAATCTGAAATTCAAGGTCCCTGTAAGAGCTGGTTCGTCACCTCTCAGGGGATTTTCTCCCCCTCCCCTCTTTCCCTCTACACTGGTGCAGGGGGACACGGTGACTCCCGGTAGTGAGGAGTCTCTGGCTCGGGGCAGTGCTAGTCCCCACCTATCATGGAGTCGGTCTCCTTTTGTTCCTGGGGGGCCGGCACTGCTGGCCACTGACGCGTGGACCTGGTATGCCCCCTGACTGCCCTGCCTGGCCTTCTGCCCAGGTAACACTCCACCTCACCTGGCCTTTGTGGGCACCTCTCCTGCCGGAAGTCCCGCTGAAGCACTCGGCCTCCCACACGTACCTCAGGCGGTGAGGCCCTGTGCTCTGTAGGCTCCTCCTCCTGACACGAAGGCTGTCTCTATTGGTCCTGGGTACTCTTGACCCCTCCCTAAACCACCTACTCCACCCCCAACACCAGGCTTGCGGGAACTCCCAGGTCTCTTGCCAGCTCTGTGCGGGCCGCGGGGCTCGGGGTCCTTGAACGGGCGAATGGATCTCAACATTCCTTTCCCTCTGCGCTTGCTAGTCCACTGGTCCTGGACCTCCTTTCCTCGGGTCACATCCTCAACCCTTATGCTGTAGCTTGAGGAAAATTCTGTGATCTGAGTCTCCTCGGTTGGGCTCTGGACATGGAAAGGGAAGATTTTTGGAATTCCGCAAAATCTTCCTCTTTGAGTAAAGCCCCAGCATGTTGTCTCACAGTGGACTCAAAAAACTTCATTTTTAGTCAAAATTTGAACAGGCAAACTGTTTCTCTTCGTGTTTCTGCCCTAACTTTCCTGCCTATATCCTTCCTGAGGCAGCAGATACACCTGGCTAAATCAGAGCACAGCCCCATCCAGGGAAGTATAAAAAAGAAATAGACATTAACATATTTCAAGCTATATTCTTTCCATAGTATCTGTAACCGAAAGCACTCCAAACCTGAATCTTTCACTCAGCACTGACTTATTTAGCTTTTGGCCCAGTGGACAGGATATACCTCATGGTTTTCATACAAACAATTCTTTCCCTCTGTCCCTCACATTCCACATCCTACTGTGTGTATTTGCGCCTTGTGCAAGGGTGTTTGTGTGTGGCTCTTGTTTTGCTCGCTAGATGCTTTAGATTTATAAGTCACAACATGCCAATATGGGCTAAGAAGGTAAGACTAGGACTCATGCCGTGACTAACTAACCGCCACCGCAGCTAAGAATATAGAATACACAGTAAGAATCAAAAACTGTTTCTTGACTACTCACAATCTATCCTGATATCCTGGGTTCGGAGACTTTGTTTAAAGGTATATTTTCCTTTCCCTTTGGCCTCCTTCAATCCTTCATGGAAAATAAAGGCACCAAATTTCTGGCTTCTCTCTCATTAAGACTGAATCGATATCCAGAGATCTAAATTTCATACAGTGTGCTTCCACCCACAGAAACCCAGATGGAGTTAACTTGGCCCCATGCCTCCGAGAGACTCCCACTCCAGCTGCACACCCTGTCCCATCCACTCTGCTCCAGAATGCTCTAGGTGTGACTGACTTGTCACCTTGCTCCCCTGCTAAAAACACTTAGGCAAAGGAAGATTTCCATTTAAGAAAAACTGGAAAATTGAGGAGAAGATAAACACAAGTATCCAATAATTACCAATGTTATCATTTTGGTATATTTCCCTCGAGTACAGTATAAATTATAAACAAAGAGAGAGCTTCTTTATTCTCTCCCTCTCTCTCTCTTTTTTTTTTTTTTTTTTTTGAGAGAGAGAGAGTGAGTACGAGTGGGGGGCGGGCGTGGAGCAGAAGGAGAGTTAGAGAGAGATTCTTAAGCAGGTTCCACACCCAGCATGGATCCCAGGCAGGGCTCAACCTCAGGACCCTGAGATCATGACCTGAGCCGAAGTCAAGAGTCAGACGCTTAACTGACTGAGCCACCCAGGCGCCTCATTTTAGAATTTATGATGAAGATTTACTCATGTTGTCTTTCAAAATGCTTGTCTCTGCTATTTTTACTCATAAATAAAACTCTGATGAAAAATAACAGCAATACTATAAACAACAACAAAGTATTACTAGAGTGTATAATTGCCATGTACTAGGCTGTCTTTAAAGTGTATTGTGCCATAGAATCTTCACAGAAACTTGGCATCATTACCATTTTATAGATGAAAAACTGTTAGAATGATTAAATAATTTGTCCAATGACATAACAAATATAAAAAAAATGGATTCTGCACTAAAATTTAGTTCTCCTACACTCTGCTTCATAAGTGATTCTATTTCCATGGAGGAAAAAAACATCCCCAGAAGTGGAATCCAAAATTAAACCATTTTAACGCTTTCATGCTTTCCCCCCATATCTAAGTGGCTTTCCAGAAAGGCTTTTTAAAATATTTACCAACCTATAAATAGCATATGAAAATACCTGTTTCATTGCACCTTTCTCAAATTGTTCCCAATCCAAAAGTGAGAAATTGTAACTCATTGCGTTTGATCATGTTCTCACATATACTGTCCATTTGCATTTCTTTTTTTTTTTTAAAGATTGTATTTATTTATTTGACAGAGAGAGAGAGATCGCAAGCACAAGTACAAGTAGGCAGAGCATCAGGCAGAGGGAGAAGCAGGCTCCCTGATGAGCAGAGAGCCCGACACAGGGCTCGATCCCAGGACCCTGGGATCATGACCCGAGCAGAAGGCAGACACTTAACTGACTGAGCCACCCAGGTGCCCCCTGCATTTCTTTTCTGAATTGTCTTTTCTTGACTCTTGTCCATTTTTCTGAGTTTTTATATTGTGGATTTTTAAAGAGTATTGAACGTGTTAAAGCTTAGAATCTTTTGTCTGTCTTTGCATATTCCAAATATTTTTCCCAGGTTGCCAAATTTGCTTTAAATTTGGAATTACAGAAGATTCTAGATTTTGTTTTTTAATGTTTGGTTTTCTGTTGTCCATCTTTTCTTTTATCGTTTCTTCAGTGACTATGCTTACAAAAATCCTTTCCAATCACAAGTGGATAAATATCTGACAGCTTAATATCCCATTGTTCTGTGTGCTTCATTAGGGGAAGTCCATTGTGAAATGCAGTATGTTCACTCTTCACTGGGATGGTCTGTGTGGAATCCCAGCCGTGCCCCTATTCACTGAGTAACCCTTTCTGAGATATCCCCATTTATTAAGTGGTGATGATACCTACCTTGAAAAATTGTCATGAATATTAAATAAAATAATATATTGAAAACAGCATGGCATGCACAGTAAGCACTCAATTAATAGTTATTACTTAATTCACATGAAAGTAATTTTTGGTTTAGTATATAACATAGATAATTTAATTATTGCCCCAAATATTTGATTAGTTGTCCTGCATTAAATATTTAAAAAATCTTTCCTTCTGTGGTGCCTGTTGCTATGTAGCTGCTAAATCTCTATTTATGCTTGAGTTGGGCATGGAATGAAGACACCCTGTTAAAAAGTGATTTATGTGCCTGCGTTCTCACTCACTCTAGGCTCCATTATGCACTACTCTTTGGAAATGAGAGCTTGAGCTTTTCTGCCTCGTTCTTCACATCGAACAACCTGGCAACCCTATCTAAGGAAAGGACCAGTGGAGTCAAGTCCCAGCCATGGACTCTGTCTATTGGCACCCCCACATTGGAATATACCTCTCTTCACCCCGACACACACACACAGATGGCAGGACCAACCTGAACGAGCAGGCATACCAGGTTATCCGCATGGAGGACTGCAGAGCAAACCGTCCCCACCCACTCTGCCCACAACACTGGCAGAGAAAATGCATACAACTTTTCATCCTTGGTATTCTGATGAAGTGCCAGAGGAACAAAGGTAAGACAGTAGATCTAAGGAAGATTATTATTCTCCTCAACAGGGTGCTGCTTCTCGTACCCTGTTTATTCTCTTCTTATCCTAAGGATATCTTGAATAACTTGCCCCAAATAGGGGAGAGGCTCCCTGAGATGATCCTTTCAAGTTGTCAAATTCTCTCTCCATGAAACCTAACTTGTAGATTTTTTTAAAAATTCTTCCTCCACCTATTTAATTTAGCTCTTAGCCAACAAGAAGGAAAGAAAAAGAAAATCTTTAATAAATAATATAAACAACTCTACACAGATTTTTCACATTTGCTTTCAAGTTTAAGAAAAAATAACTTTACAGTGATGTAACCACCTGTCTTCAGACTAAGACTTGAGTCGATGTAAGCCTTCACAATTATAGCAGTCATGGATTGTGGTTGAATTAGGTTAGGTAACTTCTAACACTCTGCACTTCCATTTCTATTCACCAATGATTACCATAAATTTTTTATTCTCTCCTTGAATTCTGCTGCTAGTTCCTCTGCCCTGGCCTCTGACTTAGTCTGCCACTGTGAAGTTTGCCTTGGTTCATTAATTCCTATGTAGGTTTCTGACTCGCCTCCAACTCATGGAGAGGATTTGTGGTTCCGTAAGACTCATGGGAGCACCTACTCTGTGAGGGTTGTTAGCTGTGCAGAGTCACCCCCAGCTCTGAGCTGCCTAATTCCACAAGCACAGTGGACGTTGGTTTTCTTTTGGGTCTCAAGGCCACGCATTGCACAAGACCCAAGACCTTAAAACTGAGTAAGAAACTGAACCCCTTGGAAATGAAGGGAAGCCTTTAAGCCTTTTTACCTCATTTTCCAGCTCCTCTCTTTGGGGTGGAGCAAGCTATAACAAAGACCCTTCATCTCTTCGCCAGTAGGGTTTCTCAACTAATATTAAAGCTGTCTCAAATAGGCCAGCTCCGTGAGCAGTCCTATTTCTGAACCAGTCATTTGTGGCCACACTTTCGCATTAGTTGGGACAGGCCTCTCCATATGGCCAGTATAGCTCCATTCTCTGTTCACTCTCAGATCCCACCTGCCAAAAGTCAAGGATGTCTCTAAAAAGTCATGCAGGTTTCTTTTATTTTGCTTACCTCCCACATGATCTGATCTACTCTTTTGAAAAGAAAACTCGCTGAACATTCGAAACATATATGAAAGAAAAAAAACCCTGTAGGGACGCCTGGGTGGCTCAGTTGGTTAAGCACCTGCCTTCGGCTCAGGTCACGATCCCAGGGTCCTCAGACTGAGCCCCGCATTGGGCTCCTTGCTCAGCGGGGAGCCTGCTTTTTCCTCTCCCTCTGCCTGCTGTCGCCCTGGCTTGCACTCTCTGTCAAATAAATAAATAAAATCTTAAAAAAAAAAAAAAGGAAAAGAAAGAAAACCTGTAACCAGACAATAGAAATATTCCATCATTTCCTCCTCCTCCTCCTCCTCATCAGCATCATCAT